ATTTAACTATAGTTGTGCTTTGCATCTTGCCCTACAGTTAAATTATTTAGGTAGGAATTCATTCCAATTGCAATCGTTATTACAACTCTTGGTTCGGTGGATTCTTTTAAATAAAATTCTTAATTGGGCCAGATCCATATTTCATTTAACTATAGTTGTGCTTTGCATCTTGCCCTACAGTTAAATTATTTCTGGTAGGAATAAATTCCAATTGTAACAATTTACAACTCTGGTTGGATGATCTGATTTTATTTATTGATCCTACCGCAGTGCCCTAAGTCTCTCATCCTTATGACCAAGACTTAGTTAAGACTAACCTGGGGCGAGTCAGTACCCTAGTTATGGGTTTCGCGCCTAACCAACGTAAACCGGGCGCCTCACTTGGGTGAGTCCGTTACCGATCTAAATTGGGTTTGACGAGTGACGGGGCGTCGGGGTGGCACAGACTTAAAATTATGAGGGATTTATAATGCAGTCTTGCCTATGGCATACACCGCGCGTATGGACTAGCGAAAATCACATACATGCATACATTCAATCATACATCACATGCATAATAAGTAAACGTGAAATGATTGTGGCTCCTAAAGGAAAACAAACGATAGCGCCTTGATTAAGAGATCTCTATCTCCGGCCCATCACGTCTTCCTTAGGATTCTCTATCACGAACGGACTTCGTCTTCTTATCTTCTTATAATTTTCGAGAGAAAAGAATATTTGAGGTAAGGAAGAGATTTACATCCAGAGTATAGAGATGAGGCACGACATGCAGGCCGTATTTAAAATTACAACAAATATAACTAAGCCACAATCATCCACCATGCAATAATACATACAAGCATCACATGCATCACATCATACATATTAAAGCATACACCGGGCGAACCGCGCTCGCCCCAGACCTACTTTATTCTATTCTACGGAATAAACTATCAACAATAAATTAATTAAATTAGCAAGTAATTTAATTAAAAATCATAAAATACTTTAAATTTCCAGAATGTTAGAAATTAGATTTTCTAAATTCCAGAAAATAAAATATTTTATATTTACCGTATTTATATATATTTAAATTCGAAAAAGGGCTTTTATTTCGAATTAAATATATATATGTTTTATAAATTAGAAAATAATTGTTGGAGACTCCCAGTAAACTTTATTAATCTGGAAATCCTAAAATTGAAAACCATTTTTCAAAGATAGAAAACCGAAATTATATTGTGAAAATATATTTCGAAATTCCAAAAATATCAAAATTTATTTTCCAAGTCAAAAATAAGTTCCAGAACTAGAATATGATTTTTCTAGAATTTAAAATATTAATTTTGCAATTTAAAATAATTAAAAATCGGACTAGTGAATAGTTCCGATCCAATTACTTCAAAAATACAAAATAAATACTTTTACGTGTTTAAAAATTATGAAAATTTTTTTACAAGCTTAAAATCTCTGGTCTCAACTTATTATGAATTAAAATTAATTTTTGATCGTCAAAAATAAGTTTTCCTATTTTCTATTCAATAAACGAATTTAAAAATAGGAAATTAATTCCAAAAATAGATTTTAAATTTCTGAGTTGTATTGACATGTCAAATACTTCCCAGAAAATATAAAATCTAAATTTCATAAATATTAAGTATTTATGGCACAAATAACAAGTATTCTACACATAAACTACTTAATAAGAATAATATAAAAATACCCCAAACAGTAATTCCGAAAATTACTGAACAAAATTATATTAGGTCCAGTATCTAAATATGGCCACCTAATTAAATTTTAATCGGATAAATTTTTGTCTCCAAAATTTATTGACTAATCTACAAAAACAATAACGGTAAAAACTACTAAACTAGTAACTTCGTAAGCCGGCTCTGATACCACTGTTGGGAAACGAGGCTTGGATAACGCAGCGGAAAACAAAAATTTATAGTCCAAAACTCGATTCCACCCAAGAACAACTTACGTAAATTACTAGTTATAGTAAGAAATTTACCTTAACGGTGAAAACGGAGAACGGAGGAACGGTCGGGGATGGTTTTGAGGAGATGAACGTAGCGCCAAACGTTTGAAGCCTCCAACGTATCCACACGAACTTGCTCCGGAGTCCAAGATTAAACTTGTGCTAGCAAGTTTAATATAGGATAGTAAAAACTATAATAATACTACTTTGAGAGTAATAAATATATAGTAAAATATTTATCTTATAAATATTTCTTTATAATATTTTGTGTATATTTCTAACAGTTTAAAAAAATAACTTTGAACACAAAATAGGATTTTTCTTCTCTCTAAAATGGGATGGCCGAAAATTTGAGGTATGTTTTTCAAAATCAAGACCTCATTTTATAATAAAGTATATTTAGGAAATTGCTAGGAAATTAGTGTTAAGCATAAGTCCATGTATATGTCTTAACACCATGTGTAAATGTTTAATATCTTAGCTACAAAACAAAATAGAATCCCTACATCAAATAATAATCAAATATATCAATTTGACATTAAAAAATACTTTATGTATAAAATCAAAATGGTCTTGGATTTTCCTCTTGAAATTTCAGACATCACATATTTGAAATATATCATATTTTATTTTTGACATCAATAATTGTCATATAATAAAAATGATGAAAAATAAAATAATATATATATATATATATACACACACACATTCGGCGCTACATATATATATATAATAAAATTTGTTTTGTCAAAATATAATTGTCATATAATTAAAATGACACAAACAAAATATAATTTTAAAATACATATGTATTTTCGAAATACATATATATATAAAATTATCACAACTATATATTTAATATTACTCCCACTAGTGTAGTATACTACTCCCTTACAAGTCCTAAGTGTGTGACCCTTTAGGTATCCATAACACTGGCAATTATATTAATAAAATTAATACCATAGATAATAAGCGGTATCTAGCAACACATTATTATCCCCAGATTATGAAAAAGACGTTCATCTCATCAATACCTTCTACGACACAAGACGTTCTATAACTATTATCCTTCTGTCCTAAATGTAATGATTTAACACAAGGCATGGGATGTGTATCCTTGTATAGTTAAATCAGCTGTTACTGAATCTCAAGTAGACTGACAGGGATCAGATATCTATCAGTCTCTAGATAGCGACATATCTGGGCATGGCCATGCACTTTCCCAAGTCCTACTATTCAGTGGGCTCATTGACATTATACTTCTATACAGTAGAAGGGACAGATCCTGTATCTGTTATTCACATCTCTAAATATGCTTAGCGGCATACCCAACGCATAACTGTACGTCTACCAGTATTTCAGATAGCATTAGTTATGAATCAAAGCATACGGCCCCACATATCAGAGAATGTAATAACTTCAAGTCCGAGGATAGTTATAGCAAGGTCGATTTGAGAATACTGATAAACACATTACTGTAGATCCATGCAGTATTCTCAAGATGGGTCAATCCAGTCACATATTATCAATATAATATGCACCTACGTACAGATTAAGATATCACAATACCTATAGTCTATGAGACGCAACTATCTCATCTCGTACGTACTAGTCTTGATACGTTATGACGTCCGTATTATCATAAAGTGCGACTAGGGATATTCTAGACA